CAACCTAAAACCAGCAAGCATGAGGGGCATAAAATCCCAGGCAATGGTTCTTGCTGCTTCTAGTAGTGATCACACTAGGGTAAGTGACGGCCTATTGCTTTTATTCCATTTATCTACAGATTGCTTATATGCCTTGCCAGGAGGATACATAAAAAGGAGAGAATTTTTACAGCATAATTCAGGAAAACAAGAAATGGTTCTTCCATTTTTCTTGTTGTCCCAATTGCACGGACTTCCTTGATCATCACCACTCTGTTGATAGTAAATAGGATCAATTCAGGATACCTGCCTAACAATACACAGAGAGCTCGCTCTGATTGAGATGCCAAATAAGAAAAGACATGTAGAGTGTGGAAATTTGGGTCAAAAGGAGGTTTGCATATTCCCTCCATAAAGGAGTATTCAGTGTTAATGTAGACCAAACACTGTCGACTTTTTGGATGAAGTAGCTACAGTTAAATATTCTATGTGCAATTTGGCAAATTTTGATGCACAAAATACTGAAGCATGTGCCAAGTTTTTCATATAGATGACACGGAAAATTTGTTGAGGTATGCCATTGTACAAGACCATCTAAATAGAATGTCTAAGGTAGATGTAGCTTCTTCCGCTGCGTTATTTTTGGTGAGAACCATGAGGTCTCAGGTTCAATCCCAGCGAAGGCAAAAAGCACTAGATGTTTTCTTCCTAATAAAGCTTTGGTGGATACCTGTGTTGGTGGGATGTTGCAGGCATCCAGTGGAATAGTCGAGGTGCGCACATACTGGTCCGGACATCATCGTCATAAAGAAGGAAGATGTAGCTTCTTTCAATGCGATATTTTTGCACAAATGGCAATACTACCAACTTACATGTAATTTACATGTGGCCACTACCAGTCAATTTACTGTATAACTGACGTATGTTTATGTATAAGGGCAGCCCGGTGCACTAAGCTCCCGCTATGCGCAGGGTCTGGGGAAGGGCCGGACCACAAGGGTCTATTGTATGCAGCCTTACTCTGCATTTCTAATGCATGAGGCTGTTTCCACGGCTTGAACCCGTGACCTCCTGGTCACATGGCAACAACTTTACCAGTTACGCCAAGGCTCCCCTTCCAATATTTATGTATGTATTTCAAAAATTTCTGCCAGTATAATCATTACTAGAAAGGGAAATTGACCACTTAGTTACTCTTGGAGATTTTTTCCCTATATTTTTGCTGGAGCACACTTAATGACTTTTTAACACAGATAAGATGGTTGAAATGAGAAAAGAAAACAAAAGCTAAAAGGCAGAAAAGAGGAAAAGTTGGAAAGTTAACTTATGCAGTATGATGATGGTTGCATGTCAGGTTGAACTAGTTGAGCCACCTAAAGATGCTGCCATTGGTGAAAGAGTAACTTTCCCCGGGTTTGATGGCACTCCCGATGATGTCTTGAACCCTAAGAAGAAGGTTTGGGAAACTCTTCTGGTGGACCTGCACTCAAATAAGGAGTTGGTCGCTTGCTATAAAGATTTGCCATTCACCACTTCAGCTGGTGTTTGCAAAGTTGCATCCATTTCTGAAGGATCAATTAGGTAATTTATTTGGCTGATCTTCTAGAAGAGGAATTCAAGATTTTGCTTTATAATTTCTTTCACATTTTTTCGTCTTTCCTTCATAACGATAAACAATCAAATTTTCCCTTGTGATTGACTAGAGTATTGTTAAAAGGAAATGAGTATTGAATGTACTTCTTGAATCTTGCTATGTATCTGATTTTCTGTATAATTACATAAGTTGCACAATTTAAATTAACTCATCAGCCGCGGTACTTCAGTATTCAGTTAGAAAAGGTATTATCTGAAACCTAAGAGAATCTTTAAAACTTTAGTTTGCCATTCTATACTTGGCTGCTTGGTTAATGTCTCTGAGAATAGTCCCTCGGGTTCCTGTTTTATATGTAGGAAAGAGATTGTTGGTATGTTGGTGTATTATCGGGTCTGCCTGTTGTAAAATTTCTTATGAAAAAAATTAACAAACACCAAAGCTGTATTGCCCGACCCTTTGATGGCGCTGTGTATTGTTTTTTTAAGGATAATCTTGCTTGTAAATCTCTTACCCTTGTGTAGATATAACAGAAGCATTTCTCTTTTTACCTAAGAGATCTATAAATTGGATTTTTGAGATCAAAGGTATTTCCCTTGCAAGATAAAAGATGACATTTGAAGGCTCCTAGCCTAGTGATAAGAGCACAGTGATGTGCGGGTTATAGACAAAAGCCTGATACTTAAATGGAGAAGGGTAGAAGGTAGATTTATTATCCATTGATTTTTAAATTGTTTGTGATTGGCCTTTGAGAATTTTTTGGTTATACAAAAAAGATAGACATGTGAATTTGAAAGGAAAAGAAAGCTTTTGTGATATATTTCCCCACATGTGGGATTACACTGGGTTTTTTTTGTGTACTATTGGGGTGTGTATTTTTCTTTTTCATATCATAGTTTGATGAAAAGTCGTATTGAGGTATAATACAGGGCATGTATGAATTATTTAAAGTATTTTGAACTGCGGTGCATTTTTCAAACTGATATTTGCAAAATGAAAATATGTTCATTGAGATATCCCCTTTAAATCATCTTTTGGTGCCTAAAATAGGATATGTTTAAAAGGTGTTTTTACTTGGTGAATAAGGTTCAACTAATAAGTGAGAATGAAGAAAATGATTTTTAGTTTAACTAGAATTGATTCTTATCAAACTAGTTTGAGTTTATGTGAATGAGATATTTATTTGGGTACTACGATGTATTAGCTTCAATGTTTGATTTGAAAGACATGTTTAAAGCTATAAAATTCATAAAAAGTAGTACAACCCAATAATAAGTACGAAACACTTTCAGCTAACTCCAAGTATATCTTGTAGTTGGAATTGGCAAACATTTTTTCTATTCAAAGAAAATTACCGGATTTTTCGTTTAATTTAATATAGTGCAGACTTACAAAATGATTCAAGAGAATTTTAAGGAGATAAGATATGATGTTAACCAGTAGTGTAATTTAATAGGAGAAATGGAGGTGGTGTGGGGGCTAATAGAAGTCCATGTTATTATGTGTCAAAAGAATTTGAAATCAGGTAAATTCATCCATTTGAACTGGGATTGTGGAACATTAGATACCACGAAAGTATGTAGTGAATTAGGGTTGTACATAGGTCGGGTTGGTTCAGATTTTTCAATTATCAAACCAAATTAATGGTGTCGGATTTTTAAATTTATAGACCAGATCAAACCAACAAAGTCGGGTTTTTCAATCTCGGTTTTTCTCGATTTTTTTTGGGGTTTTCCCATAAAATATGTAACCTGTGCTCCAAATATTTCTTAAGTCCTAGTAAAATACAACTATATAATGTATTTTCCAATAAACTAACACAATAATATGAGATAAGTCATAGCATTATACTAAAATATTCAATAATAAAAATAAAATAATAAAATTACATAAAATAAATATTGCTAATTAATAAGCCATAATGAAAATTAACATAATCTAAAAATACTATATAGGTCATGCTAAAATAAGTATAGCTAATAAGTACTAATATTAATTACATAACTAAGCACTAAAGAAAAAGATAAACTAAGTTATGCATTTTCATTATAAGTCAATGTAAAACTAAAATAATTATCCAACACTATCGTCATTCCTGGTATTGAATTGAATTTCTTTTATTAGCATTAGTATTGATTTGAACTTTGTTTGAGTTACTATATTTATGGGCTATAAAATTTATTTACCATTCAAGAATGTTAAGTCTAAACTTGAAATAATATGTTACAAGATAAAACTGTGAAAAAGTTTAAGAAATATTTATAAATTATATTACAATAAATGTTTATATGTATAAAATATTTTTAAAAATTATATAAATGTACTATCGGGTTGGTTTGGTTTTGGTTTGACTTTTTTTAGTTAAAATCAAACCAAACCAATTATGGTCGGGTTTTATTTTTCAATACCAAACCACATCCGTTTTTTTTTTTTGGCTCGAATTATCGATTTGGTGTGATTTATCGATTTTCTTTGTACATCCCTAGATGGAATAATAGGAATCCCTCCAATTTTAATAAGAGTACTCGGGTTTGAATCTTAAAAATAAAATTTTTTGAATATGGAAAGTTTTACCCATAATGGACTTACCCGATGTGAATATGAATTGATTTGATCAATGAATTACGAATACCAATTACTAACTTTACCTACATTATTAAGACAGACGAAACAACCCTTCTCAAGTAGACAAGTCTATGTACTGTAGACTGTAGTAGATGTTGAACAATATCTAGTTAAACTTGAGAAAAGAGAATTTGAAGTTAAAATGGATTAATATTCTGCTTTTTCATACTTGGAGTGGGGTGGGCCCCTCGAGTGGTGGTTTTGG